TCCGTCCGTCTCTCCGTCCGTCCGTCTCTCCGTCCGTCCGTCTCTCCGTCCGTCCGTCTCTCCGTCCGTCCGTCTCTCCGTCTCTCCGTCCGTCCGTCTCTCCGTCCGTCCGTCTCTCCGTCCGTCCGTCTCTCCGTCCGTCCGTCTCTCCGTCCGTCCGTCTCTCCGTCCGTCCGTCTCTCCGTCCGTCCGTCTCTCCGTCCGTCCGTCTCTCCGTCCGTCCGTCTCTCCGTCCGTCCGTCTCTCCGTCCGTCCGTCTCTCCGTCCGTCCGTCTCTCCGTCCGTCCGTCTCTCCGTCTCTCCGTCCGTCCGTCTCTCCGTCCGTCCGTCTCTCCGTCCGTCCGTCTCTCCGTCCGTCCGTCTCTCCGTCTCTCCGTCTCTCCGTCCGTCCGTCTCTCCGTCCGTCCGTCTCTCCGTCCGTCCGTCTCTCCGTCCGTCCGTCTCTCCGTCCGTCCGTCTCTCCGTCTCTCCGTCCGTCCGTCTCTCCGTCCGTCCGTCTCTCCGTCCGTCCGTCTCTCCGTCCGTCCGTCTCTCCGTCTCTCCGTCTCTCCGTCCGTCCGTCTCTCCGTCCGTCCGTCTCTCCGTCTCTCCGTCTCTCCGTCCGTCCGTCTCTCCGTCTCTCCGTCCGTCCGTCTCTCCGTCCGTCCGTCTCTCCGTCCGTCCGTCTCTCCGTCCGTCCGTCTCTCCGTCTCTCCGTCTCTCCGTCCGTCCGTCTCTCCGTCCGTCCGTCTCTCCGTCCGTCCGTCTCTCCGTCCGTCCGTCTCTCCGTCTCTCCGTCTCTCCGTCCGTCCGTCTCTCCGTCCGTCCGTCTCTCCGTCCGTCCGTCTCTCCGTCCGTCCGTCTCTCCGTCCGTCCGTCTCTCCGTCTCTCCGTCTCTCCGTCCGTCCGTCTCTCCGTCCGTCCGTCTCTCCGTCCGTCCGTCTCTCCGTCCGTCCGTCTCTCCGTCTCTCCGTCCGTCCGTCTCTCCGTCCGTCCGTCTCTCCGTCCGTCCGTCTCTCCGTCTCTCCGTCCGTCCGTCTCTCCGTCCGTCCGTCCGTCCGTCTCTCCGTCCGTCCGTCTCTCCGTCCGTCCGTCTCTCCGTCCGTCCGTCTCTCCGTCCGTCCGTCTCTCCGTCCGTCCGTCTCTCCGTCCGTCCGTCTCTCCGTCCGTCCGTCTCTCCGTCCGTCCGTCTCTCCGTCCGTCCGTCTCTCCGTCCGTCCGTCTCTCCGTCCGTCCGTCTCTCCGTCCGTCCGTCTCTCCGTCTCTCCGTCCGTCCGTCTCTCCGTCCGTCCGTCTCTCCGTCCGTCCGTCTCTCCGTCCGTCCGTCTCTCCGTCTCTCCGTCCGTCCGTCTCTCCGTCCGTCCGTCTCTCCGTCCGTCCGTCTCTCCGTCCGTCCGTCTCTCCGTCCGTCCGTCTCTCCGTCTCTCCGTCTCTCCGTCCGTCCGTCTCTCCGTCCGTCCGTCTCTCCGTCCGTCCGTCTCTCCGTCCGTCCGTCTCTCCGTCTCTCCGTCTCTCCGTCCGTCCGTCTCTCCGTCCGTCCGTCTCTCCGTCTCTCCGTCTCTCCGTCCGTCCGTCTCTCCGTCTCTCCGTCCGTCCGTCTCTCCGTCCGTCCGTCTCTCCGTCCGTCCGTCTCTCCGTCCGTCCGTCTCTCCGTCTCTCCGTCTCTCCGTCCGTCCGTCTCTCCGTCCGTCCGTCTCTCCGTCCGTCCGTCTCTCCGTCCGTCCGTCTCTCCGTCTCTCCGTCCGTCCGTCTCTCCGTCCGTCCGTCTCTCCGTCCGTCCGTCTCTCCGTCCGTCCGTCTCTCCGTCTCTCCGTCTCTCCGTCCGTCCGTCTCTCCGTCCGTCCGTCTCTCCGTCCGTCCGTCTCTCCGTCCGTCCGTCTCTCCGTCTCTCCGTCCGTCCGTCTCTCCGTCCGTCCGTCTCTCCGTCCGTCCGTCTCTCCGTCCGTCCGTCTCTCTGTCTCTCCGTCTCTCCGTCCGTCCGTCTCTCCGTCCGTCCGTCTCTCCGTCCGTCCGTCTCTCCGTCTCTCTGTCTCTCCGTCCGTCCGTCTCTCCGTCCGTCCGTCTCTCCGTCTCTCCGTCCGTCCGTCTCTCCGTCCGTCCGTCTCTCCGTCTCTCCGTCTCTCCGTCCGTCCGTCTCTCCGTCTCTCCGTCCGTTCGTCTCTCCGTCCGTCCGTCTCTCCGTCCGTCCGTGTCTCCGTCCGTCCGTCTCTCCGTCCGTCCGTCTCTCCGTCCGTCCGTCTCTCCGTCTCTCCGTCCGTCCGTCTCTCCGTCCGTCCGTCTCTCCGTCCGTCCGTCTCTCCGTCCGTCCGTCTCTCCGTCCGTCCGTCTCTCCGTCCGTCCGTCTCTCCGTCCGTCCGTCTCTCCGTCTCTCCGTCCGTCCGTCTCTCCGTCCGTCCGTCTCTCCGTCCGCCCGTCTCTCCGTCTCTCCGTCCGTCCGTCTCTCCGTCCGTCCGTCTCTCCGTCCGTCCGTCTCTCCGTCCGTCCGTCTCTCCGTCCGTCCGTCCGTCCGTCCGTCCGTCTCTCCGTCCGTCCGTCCGTCCGTCCGTCCGTCTCTCCGTCCGTCCGTCTCTCCGTCCGTCCGTCTCTCCGTCCGTCCGTCTCTCCGTCCGTCCGTCTCTCCGTCTCTCCGTCCGTCCGTCTCTCCGTCCGTCCGTCTCTCCGTCTCTCCGTCTCTCCGTCCGTCCGTCTCTCCGTCTCTCCGTCCGTTCGTCTCTCCGTCCGTCCGTCTCTCCGTCCGTCCGTGTCTCCGTCCGTCCGTCTCTCCGTCCGTCCGTCTCTCCGTCCGTCCGTCTCTCCGTCTCTCCGTCTCTCCGTCCGTCCGTCTCTCCGTCCGTCCGTCTCTCCGTCCGTCCGTCTCTCCGTCCGTCCGTCTCTCCGTCCGTCCGTCTCTCCGTCCGTCCGTCTCTCCGTCCGTCCGTCTCTCCGTCTCTCCGTCTCTCCGTCCGTCCGTCTCTCCGTCCGTCCGTCTCTCCGTCCGCCCGTCTCTCCGTCTCTCCGTCCGTCCGTCTCTCCGTCCGTCCGTCTCTCCGTCTCTCCGTCCGTCCGTCTCTCCGTCCGTCCGTCTCTCTGTCTCTCCGTCTCTCCGTCCGTCCGTCTCTCCGTCCGTCCGTCTCTCCGTCCGTCCGTCTCTCCGTCTCTCCGTCTCTCCGTCCGTCCGTCTCTCCGTCCGTCCGTCTCTCCGTCTCTCCGTCCGTCCGTCTCTCCGTCCGTCCGTCTCTCCGTCCGTCCGTCTCTCCGTCCGTCCGTCTCTCCGTCTCTCCGTCTCTCCGTCCGTCCGTCTCTCCGTCCGTCCGTCTCTCCGTCCGTCCGTCTCTCCGTCCGTCCGTCTCTCCGTCTCTCCGTCCGTCCGTCTCTCCGTCCGTCCGTCTCTCCGTCCGTCCGTCTCTCCGTCCGTCCGTCTCTCTGTCTCTCCGTCTCTCCGTCCGTCCGTCTCTCCGTCCGTCCGTCTCTCCGTCTCTCCGTCTCTCCGTCCGTCCGTCTCTCCGTCCGTCCGTCTCTCCGTCTCTCCGTCCGTCCGTCTCTCCGTCCGTCCGTCTCTCCGTCTCTCCGTCTCTCCGTCCGTCCGTCTCTCCGTCTCTCCGTCTCTCCGTCCGTTCGTCTCTCCGTCCGTCCGTCTCTCCGTCCGTCCGTGTCTCCGTCCGTCCGTCTCTCCGTCCGTCCGTCTCTCCGTCCGTCCGTCTCTCCGTCTCTCCGTCTCTCCGTCTCTCCGTCCGTCCGTCTCTCCGTCCGTCCGTCTCTCCGTCCGTCCGTCTCTCCGTCCGTCCGTCTCTCCGTCCGTCCGTCTCTCCGTCCGTCCGTCTCTCCGTCCGTCCGTCTCTCCGTCCGTCCGTCTCTCCGTCTCTCCGTCTCTCCGTCCGTCCGTCTCTCCGTCCGTCCGTCTCTCCGTCCGCCCGTCTCTCCGTCTCTCCGTCCGTCCGTCTCTCCGTCCGTCCGTCTCTCCGTCCGTCCGTCTCTCCGTCCGTCCGTCTCTCCGTCCGTCCGTCCGTCCGTCCGTCCGTCTCTCCGTCCGTCCGTCCGTCCGTCCGTCCGTCTCTCCGTCCGTCCGTCTCTCCGTCCGTCCGTCTCTCCGTCCGTCCGTCTCTCCGTCCGTCCGTCTCTCCGTCTCTCCGTCCGTCCGTCTCTCCGTCCGTCCGTCTCTCCGTCTCTCCGTCTCTCCGTCCGTCCGTCTCTCCGTCCGTCCGTCTCTCCGTCCGTCCGTCCGTCCGTCCGTCTATCTATCTATATATCTATCCAATCTGTCTAATCTGTCTAATCTATCTCGGTTGCTGATGCACACGTGCAAACACAGAGGAAGGCAGGCCGTGTAGAAATGTGACAGGAGTTCTCGTCTATTGAACAGCGATTCCCTTTTAAGAAACACGTTTTCATTTCGGAATGTACATGTGCGACCGGATTGTGATGGAATGATTTCAGGGATGGATATGTGCTTCCATAATATGCCGCGATTCTCATTTAGCCAAGAAGAAAAAAAAATAGGCCCGTATATTTAAAGAATCAGATGAGCCCGTATAAAAGCGTAATGACGTCGTGATGTCAGAAATAGATAATCGCTTCTCCAACATACCGCAGTTTCCATTTAGCGTACACGTTGACGTTTTTATTTCCAGAATTTTGTGCTCCACATGGTACCTCTATAAGACCAAATCATGTTGTTAGCGTTTGCGGCTTCGGTACCTATTTCTTCGAATAACATCATCTGTCTTCCTGGCGTGAAAAGGAGATTGGAGGCCAAGTGTATTAACGAGTCACAGCTCGGAGCACGTGGAGCAAAAGCTCGTTCTACAAAACCCAAGGATTCTGGGTCCCACGATGCACGTCAAAGACCCGAGGTCAGCAGTGGCACTGCATGGGCTAAATGTCTAGTCTACAGCGGAAACACCAGGCACCCATTGAGGCTGACCAAGTTCCCGCGGTCTAAACATGCGCACAATACGATTACTTTTGCTTGCACGGGAGTGCTACAATACGACAAAATGCGGCGGCAGGACTGCGGAGCCGTCGAAGGTGCATAATTGACTCACCGGTGTGTATGTAGGTGTGCTTCTTCATGTCGGACTTCTGGTGGAAGCGCTTCCCGCAGAACTCGCACGGGTAGGGCCGGGTGTCCGAGTGGATGAGCAGGTGCGTGGAGAGCGTCGAGGAGCGCTTGAACCGCTTGCCGCACTGGGCGCACGAGAAGCACCGCTCGGGCTTGGTCGACGCCTGCGCACCACGAGGAGTCGTCGGACGCCTCTCTCGCAGACGCCGGGCGTTCCCTAACAGAAACCCTAAGCATAACGTATTTCCTCGATTAAAAACAAAAATGTAAGTCGCAGCTTTTTCTCCAAGTTAGCTGAAAGCACGAGCCACAAGACGCACTAATCTCGACACTGCGTGCGACGCAGCTGGAGCGAGAGGCGCGTTGACACGCGAGCGACGTGAAAGCGTGGCTTTTCCATCCTTCCCCATTCCTTCTCTCCCCGCCCCCATTTTGTTTTTCCAAAAGAGGTTAAGTCAAGGCGTAAGGACGCGTGTGGACCGCGAGGCGAAATCTTAACTTGGCAGCTGGTCAATTCTGCGGCAGCTGCTGTTTTCAAAACGCTTTTCGAAACCCTGTTTTGACGACGAATGCTAACGCAAGAATGCCGCGAGGAAAGAATTTCATCGTGTTTCCATTGTCATGGTTTTAAAAACCATGACAATGATATGTGTTTTGTTACAGGTGGCGCTACCATCACCAGTGTGCCTACATCTACGGGTGCTTTCAACTGCTTGATAGGATTCACGTGGTTTTCAATACAAGGTGTGAGAAGAAGGCGAAGACGTCGATGATTTGCAAGCGACTCTAAGCTCTAAGCTTGCCCTACCTCTCCTCCGGCTATCCTCCTCGCCACTTGACAACGCACACGCAAGCGCACAAAGGCGCGGGAAGCGTCCCCCACAAAACGTCTTATTCCTGTATTTCAGATACACATCTTACAGATATTTCACAAGACGGATGGTAGACATTCATACATTTTAGATGTCTAAAGACGTCTTCAAAGACGTTATAGTCCAAAAAATAGGGAGCGTTGAGGCGGCTCAGATGTACTGGGCTTAATGACGTCTTACCAAGATTTCCTGTACATATTGCCAATGCGGAGCATAGGTTCGTCTGCTTCTTTTGCAGGGGTTGTGGTGACGTCAGAAAGACGCAGAGCTCTGATTGGCTTTGATGGAAGGATAGGGGGTAGACTTCAAAGCAAGCTGCCTCGAGGTCTACCCACTATCCTTCCATCAGAGCTCGGCGTTTTCACGTCTCCACAACCCCTTCAAAAGAAGCAGACGAACTTACGCTCCGCATATGTCTTATAGATGTCTAATAGCTGCTTTTGTGTTCATGGAGACGCGACGCAGTAAGAGAGCCTTTCCTGTCATAATAACTGGGCGACAACGACCGCTGCTTCACTAGCCTGAACGAGGGCGTGGGGCAGCAGAGACGACGTCGGTCCGCCTCTCCCAGCGGACGACATGACCGGCGTCTG